GAGAGAGAGAGAGAGTGTGTGAGAGAGTGAGAGAGAGAGTGAGAGAGAGAGAGAGACACAGAGATAGCAAAGTCCACTAAAGGAGGTAGAGCTTTTTCACATTTGGCTCCCAAACTCTGGAATAGCCTTCCTGATAACGTTCGGGGTTCAGACACACTCTCTCTGTTTAAATCTAGATTAAAGACACATCTCTTTGGCCAAGCATTCAAATAATGCATCTCATAATCTTTTACTGCAGTTATATCTGATCAAATGCACATTATTATTCTTTAGTTTGGGTTAAACAAATCAATTTTGCTTGGTTGGAACAGCAGCTACGCTAATTATGCCTCTATTTGTTTCTCTGTTTCTGCTGGGATTGACATCCCGTGGTAACTAGGATTTACACAAGCTTCAGTCTGGATCCAGAACACCTGAGAAGAGATGATGCCAACCCCTCAGAGGACCTCAGATGATGCCAACCCTGAAACAACATACAGAACTACCACATTTTGCTCTAAGTTTGATTGCATCATATAATAATTGCTGTTAATAGTGTTCATCGTCTGTTTTATTACGTCTTAAATTGATTTTTACGTACATTTCTGCCATATGCACATTGACTGACAGTCACCACTGATAAGCTACCACTAAATATTGTAGAAACTTAATTTTCCATAAAGTTGTATCGTGAAAAGCGCTATACAAATAAACATGAATTGAATTTAATTGTGTGCATGTGAGTGAGTGCACACACAGCACTTCAACATCATATTTTCATTTATTTTTAATGACTTTTTCCTATTTCCTTTGTTGTTGTTATTGGCATTATAAATGTTTGAAACTAGTATTTATGTGCAAAATCTTGTATGTCTGTCACACTTTTATTGACACAAAATTAGATGTTATAAGTTACTGTTCACAGTCTGATCAGAGGTAAGAATTTTGCATTATCAGTCATTTTATATTAACAAAAAAGGTCACTAGTATTACTTACAGTTGTTACACTTCCTTAATTCATGAAGCAGAATTATATAATTTATGAAAGACAAAATATAACTGCACTCTCACTTAAGCCTAAATTGGAAAATCAACATTTTTTGAAAATGACTCTTAATCTGCATTATAGCGATTTCATTATCAAGGGCAGTAATCGACTGTTATTTTTGTCATTAAGTTACATACAAACGCAGACACAAATGCACTGTAAACAATCGATTAGAAATCTGTCAGAAAGCACTTACTAATGATGCCTTGAAGCGAAATGAGTTTATAACTGAAACACGGCATCTCTAGCTCTGTTTACTCTCTAGTTACGTGCGTCACTTAATGCGTGATTGCGTATAGTTGCGGTCACACTAGACTTTGAACATGCGAAATTTTTTCAGACGCTGCTGCGAATATGGGCGGGAGCAGGATATGACAATAATAATAATACACTTGTGTATAATAATTATATTGTACTCTCTCTCTCTCTCTCTCTCTCTCTATATATATATATATATACACACACACACACTAAGCAATCAAAAAATTATAAAAATGTGTCCGCATTCAAATGTACCATCTGTTCCTGTTTCCATTGACACCGCTTCTTTTTTTTATTAGATTTTTATAATCTTTTAAAGATGTATTATATAAAATAGGATGCTGCGCTACGGCTAAAATGAGCGCTTCCTCCATTTTTGAATTTCTGTACAGAGAGGTCACGCAGTGACGTATCGATCTTCTACTGGTCATTTTATTTGATTTTTATAATCTTTTAAAGATGTATTATATAAAATAGGATGCTGCGCTACGGCTCTAAAATGAGCGCTTCCTCCATTTTTGAATTTCTGTACAGAGAGGTCACGCAGTGACGTATCGATCTTCTACTGGTCACACGTCTTCACGTGATGCGAATTCGCAGGTCAGAGTTACCAAACTTGAACTTTGGAACGCAGCGAAATGCGACATTTTTCGCATGAGCTTGCGTTTCCGGTCTGACGCATTCGCATGCGTATGAATGGAAGTCAATGGAGCGAAAAGTGCAGTGTGACCGCCCCTTAACTCGGCAGTGACCAATCAGATTCTGAACAACGACACGAATCTTGGCGCGACGGACGCGTTGAAGGCGCGATGATCGCTCGCGGCGCGTTTGGGAGGACGTTCAAAAGAAAAAAGATCGTGAAGATCGTGAAGAATCTCTTTTCAACTAAATTATTAAAAATACAGACTTCGGTTTTGAACTTATTGACCTGAGCTTATTAAATAGCACTGTTTTTGAATTACATTCACATGGGAAATATTTAGTAAATATCATGTTTTAATGATCAATTAGATTAAAATTCTAATGTCCTGAAGAAGGCAGAAAGAGAGATTGAGTTTTCTGTGCAGTTATCCACACATGCTCATCTGATACAGCTCCATATTTCTCATCCATTTATCTCCAGTGACCAATACATCGCTTGCACGAGAAAACAACTGGTATAAAAAAAAGCTTAAATTCTGAACATTATTGTGCATTTAGATGCTCTGTGAGAATAAAGTTGTGGCATTTTATTCCAACTGGCTGAAATAAAGTGCTTAAGAAAAAACAAACAAAAAAATAATACATAACTTCAGCAGAAAACTGAATAATGATGCTATATTCTCTTCTGTAGAAATGCTCTATAAACAAAGTTGAAATGATAGAGTTTGACAATAATAAGCAGAATTCAGTAAATGATGAAGCGCTATAGAAATGAACCTGATTAATCACGGGAGGGTTGTGTGTGATCTCTTAACATGCAGCAGTAAAGACATCAGGTTTATTGTATGAACAGCACCAGCTGTCAGACAGAAGCAGGGGCTTCAGAAGAACAGGCCCCTCATGCGTCTGCCGATGCCCTGCCTGTCGTACAGCACGTTGAACTTGTTGATGAACTGGTTCATGCTGTTGCAGGTTTTGGTGATGGATCCCAGGTACGCCATCAGACCCACGTCATTACATTGCTGCGGGAGGAGAAACGTTCAGATGCCTTCATTTTGAGGAATCGTGTGAAACCACAAACACTTGAGTCGCTGTCTGCACGTGATTCATCAGATCATGAGGAGTCAGTAATCAAACCTCTTATTCTGTAGAACAACATTGTTCTGGCTCCCGAACAGTGACAGAAGCGACTGAGCAGCACAGAACTGAAACACTCACATCATAGAAGTCTGTCTTGAGTGAGTGAGTGAGTGAGTGAGTGAGTGAGTGAGTGTGTGTGTTTGTGAGTGTGTGTGTGTGTGTGTGTGAGTGTGCATGTGTGAGAGTGTGTGTACCTGTGGAGTTCTCTCCTGTCCCGATGGCTGTCATCCGTGCGACGTGATCGACTCCGATGCGCTCTGCTTCTTCTGTCGCTAGTGTATACGGCAGCTCAGCAAACAGCATAGTCGCCTAGCAAAGAGGACAAAAGGTTACGACCTTTGACCTCCAAACTAAAGACGGGTTCAAACACAGACTTCATGTGAACGATGTGAGATCAATCTTTGAGCGAGTGTCTCTGTCCGAGACTGAAACACATCAGAGCTCAGATCTTCACATCAACTCTATCACACGCTTTCTGAAATATTATGTTTGAATCTGCAAATTAGGTATTATCTAATTAAATAAGCACAGATTTGCATTCAGTTCCAGCACATAAATCTGATCACTGGATAAAGTCAGGTTCATAATTCTGGTCTGATTTTGTTCTTATATTAGAGTTGAAGGTTTTCCAGAGAGGATTCTGGATTTCTCTTTTCATCGCTCCATAAATCAGAAAACACTGTCAACAGACAGAAAACAAACACATTTTCACCATGTTTTTAGGAGTGAAAGATTTTAGATTTCTCTTTAAAGATTGAAATCTACAGAAGCAAATAGATAAAGTGCAATAAAATAAACACTTAGATGTGTGTTTCGGATGTTTTCTGTGCACCAGACTGAAAGAAGAGATGATCTGGAGCAGAACAGACAGAAATCTCTAAACTGAGCCATGAATGAAACACTGCTTCAGTCTGTTCTTTATGTTGATGATCTGTTAGTGACAGTCCAGCTCAAGTGCTCTAGATAAAGGTGCTTGATTTTCCTCATGTTTTGAGAGACGACCTTTATGTATTAGTATCGCAAAACCACCAGCCTTTTATTTGTATTTGTCACGTCACAAAACAGAGATTGGTTCTAGAGATGCATACGAAACATTACACATTATACTGTACATGAGCTACAGAAACATTAGACCTGGAGCTCAAGTCTACACGCCATGATCAAGATCACTGCAAGTGAAGACCTGCCAACCTTTTGTCTGCACTCAGTTTGGGATATTCCTGTTATACAGTATTTTAGAGTAAACAGTACAGTTAAACCACAGTTCAATAAATACCTCGGCTTTTTAACCACAGTTTACGGTTTAGTTATTTTTTGCTATTTTTAAATGCTACTTAAATAACAACTTTTTTTAAAACTCCAGTACACTTCTGTATACATGGATTATCATATATCTACTTCAAATTTATTTTGAGAGAAGTTGTATTTTTATGGATTGGCCATTATTTAGTGCTATGAACACATCTAATGTGTGTTTCATTCATACTGAAGAGAAAGAAAATCCACAAATGCATCACAGAAGACAGAAGTCACAACGCTCCAGGAAATCACTAACATGGACAAAAGCATCCAGCTATCATGTAACTGAATGAAAGATGACAGAAACGCTTTGAATGATGACATTTAAAGAGAACATTAAGACAAAAAACACTGTACTGCAACAATGTTTATTTAAAGTATCTTTAAAATCTATTGCTAATTGACATAGCCTTTATTACAGTATAGAATATATTTCTGCGTCATTCTGTGCTAAGCCGCCACATCAGCTCAGGACAGAAGTTATTTCTATTCGGCAGTCGTTGGGGGGTATGTTATAATGCTCTCTTTAGTTGGACAACAGGTTTAGAAACGCTCCACATTACAAGTCATTACAAGGGAAGATGCTCGGCGTGTGTTGCTTTCTCAGATACACACGTTTCCACATCTCAGCGCCAGAGAGAAATAAAACACACAGAGACTATTTAAAAGCAAACCGACCCCCCCCACTCTGATTGACTGAACTCTTCATGTTTTTCTGTTGCTTGTTTGAACACTGAATGGACAGAGGTGTCAGCAGGTTTTGCGTAGTTTAGAGGGAGAAATGCGTACAGGTTGGCAGATCTGCAAGTGCAACTTTTAATGTGATGTTATAATAGTACGATTGATTGTTACCTCATTACGTCACAAACAGGTAATCAATCAAACAAATAAGAAAATTATAAATGCCCAAGCAACGAACTTGGCACTTGTCATGTCTCCTGTCCTGCTGAGCAAATATTATAATAATTATTATTATATCATCATTCATAGTCATGCAACAATACTGAGACATGAACCTGAGACTCCCACACACACTCACTCACTCCCACACACACACACACACACACACACACACACACACTGTATCTCTCTATTAGTGCTACTGGATCTTAGCGCTGCGTTCGACACTATCGACCACAACATTCTTTTGAATACACTAGAAAACTTTGTTGGCATTAGTGGAAGCACATTAGCATGGTTCAAATCGTATTTATCTGACCGCCATCAATTCGTAGCAGTGAATTAAGAGGTATCATCATCGATCACAAGTGCAGTATGGAGTACCTCAAGGCTCAGTACTAGGGCCGTTACTCTTCACGCTTTACATGTTACCTTTGGGAGATATCATCAGGAAACTTGGTGTTCGCATTCACTGTTATGCTGATGATACTCAGCTCTATATTTCTTCGCGGCCTGATGAAACATACCAATTTGCAAAACTAACGGAATGCATAGTGCTAAATTCTGAAAAAAAACCCCCAAAGGTGTTAATTATCGGACCAAAAACCTCCACATGTAATAACCTAGAACACTGTCTAACACTTTATTGCTGCTC